ATCGCCCGTCACTGACGGATACAGCAAAAATATGTGTGGAAGGTGTATTCCAACAATGACAGTGCCAGTTGGAAATGAAAACAAAATTGAGATGCTATTTGTTTTTGTATAACTCGGATAACTTACATTTTGGCAGGTTTTCAAGTAAAATTGTGGAGAAAAAAAAATCAACGGCCATTTTGTTATGTTTGTGCATTTTATAACTTACCGTAAATTTCTATAGTCTGTTATCAATATCGATTTCTGACTGACACAGCCAATGAAAAACGCTCCAGGGTTTACAACGCTATTGACATAAACGGAAATAAGATTACGTGGAGATTTCACTGAAGAGCAGGCTGGTTATATTATACAACATGAATACTCACATCTGACGATTTAACTACAACTTTGATCATTTTATCAAGGTCTTTTTTCGCTTTCTTCTGACACATCTGGTAACTGATCTGAAATATTCAAATACTTAATTGAATTATTTGAAACGTATTAATTTGACTTTGTTTGTCCGCAAAATGCAGCTTTCTGATTTGTCAAGTTTTTCTTTCCATTTCTGGGGAAAAATCTAGCTACGCCCACTTGATGATAATTTGATGAGTCAATGGCAGCACGACACCTTGCGGCGGATCTGTTGGAACTTCCGACTTTTTAATTAATGGAATGCCACGGACATTCATTCTAGTTGCAAAACAAATTTCATACCAGAATGAAACTAAAAATATTCCTATCAAACCTTAGATAAAAAGTACTTAAGTATGTTCAAGATATCTTTCTGTTAAAGATTTCCCATTGATAAATCAGTCTCTTTAACATCCTTTACAGTCTTGTAAGATACTTTGAAAAGTATTAATGAATTGAGGTTTTTGCACTATAAAAAGGGATTTTACCGCCTTTTCAAATGTACAACTTTCTGAAAAAAAACTCGTCGTTTGCGAGTATGGTTGTCAGATGATATTCTAAAGCTGAATTTTTTTTTTAATAATTGTCATTCATATTGAATTAGTCCATTGTGCTAAGAACACATAATCAAATCAAACCATTTGAAAGAAATGTAGAGAAAACGTTAATAACAGGTGTTTTAACATAAAACGAAAACAAGAAAAAGTTAATTTTAAAAGCCTGTCGCTAGTCACGAGTTGTGAGCAAGACTAGCAAGAGATCGAAATCCACACACACACACACACACACACACACACACACACATATATATATATATATATATATATACACACATATATTTATCTTATTAGTTCTTTACAAAGCGAAAAGTATATATATTCCCTCCAAGACATTTGTCGCGGGGAAATATAAAGCTAGATGTTTTTGTACCACGTGTTTCGGTTTTTTACATATAAGCGTCTTTGATCTATGACAAGTATGAACTTTAACATTCAGATAGCCAACAACGAATAAATAAAAGGCAAACAGGTCTTTCAAATCTATCTTCTCTTTCTTGAACAGGTAAACTTACTTTTATCACATCAACCATGTAACTGATTGATTTTCTCTCCAGTTCGTCCTCTTGTACAGAATTGTTACTTTTTATAGTTCGGAGCACCTCCACTACGTCCGTCCATTCATTATCGTACAGTTCGGAAAACTTCTCTGCTAATTTGCTAGCTCGGTTTTTATCGCTGAGGTCGGCAATGGCAGGATTGTTGCTCTTCAGACGATTTCCAGCAATTTCAGATATTCTGCGGACGATACAAAGAATTCGTATCCAGCTGTTAATTAGTTTAGGAGGGGTGTTGGGGGTGTTTGGGAGGGGGGAGAAGGCGGTAAAAAGCATTTACAAAACAGTAGTCATGTAGACACTTAAAAAGTACAACTGATCTCGAAAGAAATACGATTTTGATAAAAGTATATGTTTTGATAATATATCGCATTTAAATACAAGGTTACCATGGAAACAAAAGTCAGAAATACTAAACTTTATGTTTACAAGCTTTTCCGGGTTACAACATGAAAACCATTCAATGGATCTACAGAGTAACATGCTATTATCCTTATGCCTTTTGCTATTACTGATATTTAACTTTTGATGTTTTCTCTGTTACCATGGTAACAGCACTTGGAATTACTAGTTTCTTACTGTTTATAAGGATTTTCCTGGCTAAAATATTAAAACTGTTCAGCTGATCTCTACATGCATTTAACGGAGAATCTAAATCAAGTTATTAATTTTCTTCAAGATAGATAGATTTTCATACCGATAGTCAGGCATGGGAACGATGCCACGCTTTGAGGCTCCTTTTTTTATATTAAAATATATATTTTTTTTTATATAAAATAATATATATATATATATATATATATATATATATATAATCATGTTTGTCGTTACTTGATGAGGTTTTTGTAAATCACAATCACCTGAAAGATTAACGTAAAGCTATAATGTGCGTTATCTAAAAGTACGTGCAAAGCGTTGACGTAACGCAGGTCAACATGGTATCAAAATGACGTCATATTTCGCTTTGTGACTTAGAACGTATGTCAATATAGATAGATATACTGTTCACTTACACGTTCAGAAGACGTTGTTTTTCCGATTTGTAGCCAGTTATATCCTTCCTCATTTTCTTCCAATCAACGTCTATATTTTGTGTTTCGCCTTCTTCATTCCCATTAACACCAGCCTGTGTATTGCATTTTATATGTAAATTATATATAAGGTTTTAAGACTTTATAAGGGATTTCAAAAAGTGAATAAGTTATTGATACAATCGTAGCTGAAAGTACATTCGTCAGCGGTGTTGTTTATTTTAGTGTTTTATTTTCAGCATAAATCTGTAATCTTATTTAACGTAAATTCATCATTTAATAAAATGTTAAAATAGATTTGAAAAAAGATGTCTTTGTAACATCAAACAATATTTCAAATTGTAACGCTATGCATACAGTTAAGATATCTACAAATGTATGGATTGTCTGTTATCGCTATGTAAGTTTGAACAGGTATTATTGACATTTTAATCATTTGATACATTCTTTGTTTTAATATTTTACGAGTAAATTTGGGGAAAAAATGGGTAAAATTAAAGATTTTGACTTGCATCAGGTTTGAGATTTCTGTCATCCGACTGCACTTTTGTATCAAGATGTTTCAGCTTTTCATCCAACCATGCCATCATTATTTCTGTCTCTTGCAAACTTGTTGCTTCAAATCTTTTTATTATTTCAAATACAGCTTTCGTTTTTGGTCTTTTTGTTGAACTCGAAGAATCCGTAGTAATTTTCTGTCGGTCAGTCTGTGCTCTCTGAGACGATGATTTCACAGATATAGTACTTTTGTATACACCTGGTTTTTCAATCATTTGAGAAGTGCTTTTACCACCACCATCGATATCTCTACTCGCATCAATGTTGTCCACATGGTGTGGGCTAGACAATGTTCCCGCACGACTTAGCTGCGACATTGTTTTTTTTGAGCGAGAATTATTCGATTCGCTGATACCGTGAGTACTATTCGTTATTTCTGTACTCTTTTTTCGCTTTTCGGTTACAGGTTTAGAAAAGCTTTGTGATGTGACTGGCTTGGCTGTCGTGATACCTGATCCCATTCTAAAGCAGAAAACAGACAAAACATATGTATAAATAATCAATTATATATGGAGTTGTGTTATATATAATTATTTAAAGTTTTAAAGGTTTTTTTTCGCTATTTCCAAGAACGGAATGATATCATGAACAACGGATATAGTTAAAAAAAGAAAACCCGTAAAGCAACACAAAAGTCTATATCACATCAATGATATTCCAGGGGTTACGATCACTTCCGCTCTGTGTACCACTGGAACCATCCTCGATACTCCAGGGGTTACGATCACTTTCGCTCTTTGTACCACTGGAACCATCCTCGATACTCCAGGGGTTACGATCACTTCCGCTCTGTGTACCACTGGAACCACCCTCGATACTCCAGGGGTTACGATCACTTCCGTACTGTGTACCACTGGAACCATCCTCGACACTCCAGGGGTTACGATCACTTCCGTACTGTGTACCACTGGAACCATCCTCGATACTCCAGGGGTTACGATCACTTTCGCTCTTTGTACCACTGGAACCATCCTCGATACTCCAGGGGTTACGATCACTTCCGCTCCCTGTTCCCCTGGAACCATCCTCGATACTCCAGGGGTTACGATCACTTTCGCTCTTTGTACCACTGGAACCATCCTCGATACTCCAGGGGTTACGATCACTTCCGCTCTGTGTACCACTGGAACCACCCTCGATACTCCAGGGGTTACGATCACTTCCGTACTGTGTACCACTGGAACCATCCTCGATACTCCAGGGGTTACGATCACTTTCGCTCTTTGTACCACTGGAACCATCCTCGATACTCCAGGGGTTACGATCACTTCCGCTCTGTGTACCACTGGAACCACCCTCGATACTCCAGGGGTTACGATCACTTCCGTACTGTGTACCACTGGAACCATCCTCGATACTCCAGGGGTTACGATCACTTTCGCTCTTTGTACCACTGGAACCATCCTCGATACTCCAGGGGTTACGATCACTTCCGCTCTGTGTACCACTGGAACCACCCTCGATACTCCAGGGGTTACGATCACTTCCGTACTGTGTACCACTGGAACCATCCTCGACACTCCAGGGGTTACGATCACTTCCGTACTGTGTACCACTGGAACCATCCTCGATACTCCAGGGGTTACGATCACTTTCGCTCTTTGTACCACTGGAACCATCCTCGATACTCCAGGGGTTACGATCACTTCCGCTCCCTGTTCCCCTGGAACCATCCTCGATACTCCAGGGGTTACGATCACTTTCGCTCTTTGTACCACTGGAACCATCCTCGATACTCCAGGGGTTACGATCACTTCCGCTCTGTGTACCACTGGAACCACCCTCGATACTCCAGGGGTTACGATCACTTCCGTACTGTGTACCACTGGAACTATCCTCGATACTCCAGGGGTTACGATCACTTTCGCTCTTTGTACCACTGGAACCATCCTCGATACTCCAGGGGTTACGATCACTTCCGCTCTGTGTACCACTGGAACCACCCTCGATACTCCAGGGGTTACGATCACTTCCGTACTGTGTACCACTGGAACCATCCTCGACACTCCAGGGGTTACGATCACTTCCGTACTGTGTACCACTGGAACCATCCTCGATACTCCAGGGGTTACGATCACTTTCGCTCTTTGTACCACTGGAACCATCCTCGATACTCCAGGGGTTACGATCACTTCCGCTCCCTGTTCCCCTGGAACCATCCTCGATACTCCAGGGGTTACGATCACTTCCGCTCCCTGTTCCCCTGGAACCATCCTCGATACTCCAGGGGTTACGATCACTTTCGCTTTCTGCACCCCTGGAACTAATCATGGCAAAATTGAAGGCTCAAACAAAGTGATTTTATTGGTCCCGAGAAAAAACTGACCAATCACACGCTGTTACGCCCCTTTTGAAGAAGGATCCACACCCAAATTAAAAGCCATCACAACAAACCGTTATGCGACCTTGAGAGACTAGTCTGATGTACATCAATTGATCAAACTAGTCTTTTCGATTTGTCCACAAGGTGTCGCGCAAAGAACCTTCACTTTTGCCACGACATGTTCCAGGGGTGCAGGGAGCGGAAGTGATCGTAATCCCTGGAGTATCAAGGATGTCTATTTCACGACTTTTGCGTTAAAACTGAACTTTTAAAAATGGAATACAGATGAAATATCTATAGTATAACATGATGATGAATTTGTGACATGTAGAATACCTTCATGACACTCATATGCTGTATTAATGCTTAGGTCAAGGCTACTGTTTGTGACATGTCCCAGATCGAACACAATTAGTTATTTCTTAAATAGATATTTGGCAATGAAGGAATGTTTGAGTGTATTTCATGTTGAAAATACTTCAATGAAAAAGTGGTGGGGGTGGAGGGGTCATTCCTCTAAATAAAACTAATATGGCAGTAATATAACCTATAACGATAACGTTTGCCAGTTACAATTAACTTTTATCTGTACCAATAAATTAAGAAAATCTTTCACATTAGGGGAACCATTAAGCAGCCTAATTCCATTTTACAAATAAGTTATCTGTGAAGCACAGAATAGTTTCTGATATTCTGAATTCAATTAAAATCACCATTGCACAAAAAAAAAAAAAAAAAAACTACTCAAAATACAGCTGTGTAATATTTCCGGTGTCTAAAAATATAAGGTCATAGTTTAAGATTTTAACCAATGGAAATAACGTAATTTATCATCACTGTGTTATTCCCTGTTGTTATATAAGTTGATAAGGGACCGAAAGACAAAATATATCAGGTAGAAAAATGTAATTGAATTCATTTTTTTAAAGATTGGATATACTGAAAAAACACCATTACCACATGTCACTTGTGTGTCCCCTCGAAATGCAAAATTGAATAAAAACATATAAAAATAATACATCATTTCAATGTCTGTGTGTTATGTTTTGTTAATAATCAATGCTGTTCATTACACATCCTTCAAATAATAATTAATTAGAAATAATTATGCATATAATATTAAAGTAATAGAAAGCGAAAGTAGAAATAAAAACACAACATATAAACGGATATTGGTATTGTTTCATACGAAATACATTACCAATGGTTTCATCCATATGCTATCAAGGATCAGAATCTACGCTGAATCTATAATAGAAACGCTTAACAGATGGTGACGTATGTCCGCCCAGTGTCGGCAGAAGATAGTACACAAGTGTACACTTGATCAGAGACGATATATATTTATAGCACACACCCTGCTGATTACTTTACACAGATACGTGTGTCAACCAATACCTGTTCACGACTTACCACTGGTAAACTACAAAAGAGAACACGAATCTTTCTATTTTGATTTTATAAAGAAAAGAATATTGCCAATAATTTGTATGAAAACTGAATCTGAAAAAAACCTAGTCTTACCTCTTGTTCCATACACAGCGTCAGATATAATGTAGGTCATCTACATACAAAACACATATGTGTAAAGCATGCGTACGGCAGAGCGCCGGTAAGGCACAAACAAGGAACGAATTCGTGGAAATACTGTGGCATGCAGTGAACTGGATTGCCAAGGTGTGATTTGGGTATTCTACAGCTACCTGTTGCCGGATACATGCATATACCCGATTCTGCGAAAGGACAAAGTGAGGTAAGAAAATATGAATGATCACGTAAATATGCTTGATTTAATTAAGAACATTTTGTGTCATCTAATTATCAAATATTTAATTTACAGTAGCAGCTGTTATTAATCCTAATGTCACATGCTAGTATTTGAATCTGAAGTGTTATTGGTCAGAGAAATGAAACAAATGTTCTTTAATTTTGTCACTTCTGCATGGTTAACTTTGGCTTGTTGGAATACTTCACTTTTCATGAATTTTGAACTTTTTGTTTTAATGGGGTTTTTTTAAGTTCATTTAATAATTACACTTAAAACATAATCAAATCATGACAATAACAGCTTTCAGATAATATTCTACATTTTTCAATAAAAATGTGATAAAATCCATGGGCTTCTTTCAAAATCTATAGGATAATTACTTGCGTATGTTATTTATATACAAATCGAAAGTAGATAAATTAACATGTGTTTGTGGCACAATATTTCAATTAATTTCAATTAACAACATTACAAACTTGATCTATCATTATTATCATTATTTCTCGCACATTCAAGTTCCCATGGTTTTATTTTCAAAAGAATACATTGATCCATGATGGCGTCGGGGGACAATCTAATGGTAGCAGCGATTGACTTTGGGACTACATTTTCCGGATACGCCTTCTCATTTCGTCACGACTATGATCTGAATCATCTAAATATTTATACAAATACATCATGGATAGCTGGAGGTGCTGGGTTGATCTCCTGGAAAACTCCAACAACCCTCCTTCTAAATCCGGATCAGACCTTTAATTCGTTTGGCTACCAAGCTGAAGAAGAGTACATTGGTCTGTTGGAAGACAATGGAGAAGACAAAGACAGTTATTACTACTTCAAACGATTCAAAATGTTACTCCACGGGAAAATGGTACGCATTCATTGTCAAAACGTTGCAATTTGGATGGGTTTATACGTGTTCGTTAGTCAAGAATAGCTGTTATGATCCACGTAATTCACCTTCAGTAGGCGGATCTTACACGCTTGGTTGGTGAAACAGAAAAACCGGTTTTAATTATGGTATTTTCCCTACATTTATGATAAAGTACCTGCTCTTAGGTTACATTTGTCTCTTGTTATAAAATCTAAGAATAATTGGTTTGTATGAAATCGACAATAACAAATCGGCGTAGTCAATACGTTATGAAACCGTTATTACTTTGTAAAGGCAGTAAATTTTCAGAGCATTGTTTTCTTACATGATATCGCTTGAAATATCCACCCTTTTTACCTCAGATCCTTCATGACCTTTGAACCATTGCTTTTGTAGCCTGAATTACGACCTTATAAGTATTTGATTGTTCAAACACAGAAACTTGACAGGAATGTGACAATAAAGGACATCGCCGGGAAGGAGATGCCAGCTCTTGATGTCTTCTATCTCTCTATCCATTACCTCAAGGAAAACCTTATGCAGACACTGAAGAACAAAAACATTGACATACATGAACATGAGATAAGGTTCGTTCTCACCATCCCAGCCATCTGGAATGAAGCAGCCAAACAGTTCATGAGGGAAGCGGCCATTAAGGTATGAACGATAATGTTGGAGTTGACTTTTCCTCGTTTTATTGGTAGTTGAGACTTATCAGGGATTCGTTTACTTACTGTTCTGGAACACCTGGTATTACTCTTGTACTTCAGCCAGGAATCTTCGTGTAAATCTTTCTTTTGTACTTATTTTTTTTTCAAAGTTTCTTCGAATCTGTGTTTGGATTCAGATTTCGTTAACATGTCATTATTATCATTATTATCTTTTTGGCTTCTTCTGGAATTTCACAGCATCTTATCTCCCTTTTTGCGTACTATTGGAAAAAATAACTTTTTATTAAGAGAAAACTCTTGATGGCTTTGAAACTTTGCAAAACATGTTTATGTTTCTTTCTCTATTTGGCAGCCTGTTTATAAGTTTTAATTCAATAATTTTATCACAGTCTTGAGGTGAAAAATATGCTCAAATGGAGTTCCAATATCCAGTTAATTCAAGTCGTACTAATCCAAACAGCATGCAATCACTTTAATTATATATGAACAAAATCGAAATAAATATTAAAATTTGCAATATTTAAGTAAAATTTAAAATTTGTTTACATATATATATATATATTGTTATTCTAAATTCAACATTTAAATATTTAAAGATTCCACGTCACCAAAGTGAATATAACCATTTTTCAATGTTGAATATATTTGTGCATTAAGAAAATCAAATGGAATTTTAAAGTGTTTTTCTACAAAATCAGCACTGACTTATTTATTGGCATTATCGATGAACCAGGCAGGAATATTATCGAGGAATCTTGTCCTTGCCCTTGAACCGGAAGCTGCGTCATTATATTGCAAAAACATTCCTGTGGACCGGATGGACACCGGAAATCTAGGAGAGACTTCAATAATTCCTTTCCGTGAAGGAATGAGCTACATGGTATTGGATCTAGGTGGTAAGTACAAATTACAATAAACAGTACTAATTTGATTGAACAATTGGCCATATTTACGGAAATATACTTGAAATAAATCAGGATTTTACAAACAATAGATATATGTTATAAGATCAACAGAAATATATGCTTATACAAATTCGATTAAACGCGACAAACAAAGGAACCAAAGAGGGATATGGATAATCCTTTAAAAATGACAGATAAAAATTTAACATTGACAGCAATTTTCAGCTATGTTCAGATAAATCTCGGTAAACCCAAAACAATGTCATTCTCTAAAGGTAAGAATTGAGGCAGAAATGTCTTACAATGATCTTACATATGATATGATTATGAAGCGGGCAAACTGATATGCGTATGCATCAAGTGATTGATATATGAAAGATCCTATCCTATAATATGTGTAACTGGAAGCACCTGCTAGATAACCTGCATTTCAGTTACCTGCTTCAACGTTTTGTAATACAATATTCCAAAAAACATACAAATCATACACATGTATGTTTTATGTCTACAAATGAACTTAGTAACTATGTTTTGGATACATGGATATAATAAACGCTTTTAGATCCTTTCATTTATTTTGGTGTTTTTACTGAAATGCAGAACATTGCTGACTTTATTGAAAAGTATTTTGGATAAAATTCAATACATTTATTTTATTCATAATACTTCCAAAGGGTCGCGAAAAATTCTATAGCACAAAACAACAATAACCAGATGCATGAAATGAATTCACGCTTTCTGTAATATACATTGGTGATATATTGACGATGTCATTCCAGGATGTTATTGCACTAACAAGAACAACACTGAACGAGAGCGAAGTCCGATGTTGGTATTATTCTTGGTTGGTGCAATAAACCATGGATTGACCGTCATTAACACGTAATAGCATATTTGTTATTATTATTTTTTTTAATCCAAAATAACGGAAAACTGCTGATTGGAAACAAAAAGTTACCGGTGTACCGAACAATTGACAAAACAAAATGTTTCAAATAAATATATTTATGGAAACACCGGGTTTACACCACTCTAGTTGAATGCTGTACTATTTTTAATGCTTGGTCCTATGTATTCTTTCTCGCCAGTGAAAAACACGGACAATGAAAAATTATAATACCGTATATTTTCGCGGAGCTCAGTTGACATTACTTTTTTCAGAACACGTCTATTTCATGGACCCCTTGATTTTGTGGATAAATAAACCTCAATCAATCTGATACTAATTCTAATGTTCGCAGACATATGAAGTACCCTCTTTACTAATGTTTAAAACGTTATTACTTTTTTCATTGTTATTTTACATTCCTGGCTTCTTTCAGTGTATAATTTTCTATTATATAGGAGGCACCGTTGACGTTTCAGTACACATGGTGACAGGGAACGATACATTAAAGGAAATCTTCAAGGCTAGCGGAGGGGCTTGGGGAGGAACAAGAGTCGATCAATCCTTTAAAGACTTGATTACGAGTGTCGTAACCGAAGAATGTTTCGACACATTCTGTCGTGATAACCGGCTAGACCTTTTAGATTTCGAAAGGGAGTTTGAACTAAGGAAAAGAACTATAGTTGATTCTTCGTGTAAGCCTGTGGTGTTGAAAATCCCCGTGGCGCTGCCGTCAACTTTCGAAGAGATGACTCACAAATCTCGAGACGATGCGATTGCAGAGTCGGTCCATAATGGGAGAATCAAATTCAAGAGGGACAAAATCCATATAGATGCCGATTTATTCTGCAAGTGTTTTTATGAATGCACGGAAAGCATTAAAAAGCACGTTACTGATATTCTGAAAAGGCCAGAAATAAACGGCCACCTCGATGCCATTATCATGGTGGGAGGATTTTCGGAATGTGGCGTGATCGTACAATCTGTTCGGAAAGAATTTCCAGACATGCGCGTTATCGTGCCACAAGATGCAGGGTTGGCTGTTGTAAAAGGTGCAGTACTTTATGGACATTGTCCGACAGCTATTTCCTCCAGGGTCTGCAAATTTACCTATGGGATAGCAGCGAAAAGCGTCTTTAAGCCGGGTATCCATCCTGAAAATCAGAAATCTGAGGATAATGGGAAATTTTACTGCAATAACGTATTTAGAAAGTTTATCGAAATTGGCAATGACGCAATAATAGGGCAACCTATCAAACAAAGATTTGGCATCACCAGTTTGACCGCTCCCGTTGTCATAGGGATTTTCGCGTCCTCTGAGCCCAGTCCGACAATGGTGACTGACGACAGCTGTGTGAAGATGGGAAGCGTCACAGTCCCTCCACCGGAAGGTGGCTGGAAACCGGACACTGATATTGAAGTTGACATGGACTTTAGCGGCACGGAGTTTACAGTGAGTGCACGCGATGCAAATGACAGTTCGTCTTCTCTTCCAGCAACCTTCGATTTCCTGGAATTGAATGAAAAATAAAGAAAACAGCTCGAAAATGTTCCTAATATGAAATGAAAAAGTTACAGCATTTTAAATCTTAACGACAAAAATAAAAAAAATTTAAATGATGAATACTCAATTTTTGAAATCGACCAATCACCATTCTGGAAAAAGCTTTCAATGACAGGTCTTCACAGCCTTGAGTTTGACTGTGTTTACAAGCAATTTCAGGTCTGATGTAAATCTCGGTGCGGTTAGAATGAAAACCATAACATTCGTTTTGCATTTTAATTCTGCTTAACATTTGGCACCAAGGCATATTATCCATGTAATATCCGAAGGACTAGCTCTGTATGAAAATCTAAAGTGCATACTATAAGCGGGTTAGTAGATGTTAAACATGAAGCCATATTGATGTTTACAATGAAACCATGACTTCGTATAAAAATAATGCAGATGCCTTAAATAAATCAATAGTGTTTAATCGAAATCAATTTTCTTAATGCAAGCGTACGGAAATCTATTTGAATAATCACTTGGTTATTTTTAGCGTTAATCCACTTTCCTATAAAGGCTCTTGATTTGGCGAAATTAAACTTTAGAACAGCACAGCAACAATAATTGCTATATCAATAACATGACAAGAGCTACAATGCTGCTATTATATATTTTTTATTTTAAATGCATTGAAATAAGATTAGCGGTGATTATGATTATCATTTAATTTTTTTTCCTTTTCTTAAAACATGTTTATTGTGTGAAGCATACAGAATTTTATTTTACTCATATTTTTGAGATATCGGGCTATTAAAAATGCCAGTTATTTATGTTGTGTAAATGTACAATGTTCCAAACCTGTTCAAGCAGATTATACTCACTATTGTTTACTAAACATGAAAGCAAATACATATCAATTTTATATCATGTTATAACGAACTATTCAATAGAAAATATGGTAAATGCAGAGAGGTTCCAAACAGCTTATATATATATCGAAACGTACTCGAAAGATGTCAGACATTAGTGTTTTATTTAAATTTTTATTTAAAAACGAGCTTACTCAATTAAAAAAAAGCAATATAACGAACAATGCAACCACTTATCAAAATTTAAAGAGATGTGTATCTTTTGTCAGCAGTCAGTGTTCAAAGCCTTGGTCAAGATGGCCGGCATTCATTTTTACGTTTTCTGAAATTTTGTGTCTTGACCTATGGCACACAGTGTCAAACAAGCAATATCATTGCACACTATGTTCACTGTTAACTGACATATTTGTCACGGAGCACTGTTTATGTCATCATTTTAACTTGGATGTTTGTTTTTCTCTCTTATTTTTTTTAAAATAACTGTAATTTCCTTTTTTATCATTTCTGATTTTGTTGATTTATACCCTATCTTTAAATTTGCTTGTTCTAGTCTAGAATAATTATTGTACATTTGCTTTAAAATACATAAGGGTAAAAAATAATTTTGCATACTATTTTTATCATTAAGTTCATATGTAACATATACAGATATACATACAGATATGTAAACGGTATTTTCCTTTGTTTATGGTAATATGATAATCACGTTTTATCTACGATTGTAAGCAGAGAATGTCCATTATTTACCAACATTACGGTAAGGGCACGGTGTATTCAATATATTCAATACAGTATAACGGTTGTGCAACAATGAGATGTAAACAAAAATGTCAATAAACCTTTTCGCGTCCTCTGAGTCCATTCCAGTCCTGTTGACCAGTTGGTTCCTAAAATGAAACATTTACATATGTAGAAATAAAATAAAGATGAAATAGAATTTTTAACTTTCTTAATATGTCCTATACATCTTTTTAATTGTCATCTCGTTTGGCTTTTAAACGGGGTATTTTAATTCCTTATCCACTGTCTACATAAATCAACACAGCGCTGCCTTGTTATACTGTCAATATTTATGAGAATCTGAAATTGGCGATTCATCGAAGGAAACTGTTTTGTTTCAAAATAGCAAAGAAGACTATGTATATAGAACTTATGAATTACATTGAGAAATAGCAGGGAAAAGATGGCTTATCAACTCCATCACAAGCGTTTATTCAAGTGGGAGGCATTCTAAAAGACTTATTTTTTTAAGGATCTCTGTCCTGAATTTCGAGAAAGCATATCTTTGAAATCAAGGAATTTTGGTGTATTATCATATGTAATTATTGTACTGTCAATGTATACTTTCCATTTGAGATGAATATTGTGTGTAACTTTCTATTGCCCCTCAAATTTCCATGACGTCACTATATACATTGTGATTGTGAAAATAAAACAAAAAACCTTGACTGCCTAATATTATTGAGTTTATTAACTTGATGATTTTATTCCCTTTTTCTTACTTTTTAAATTTGTTTGTTGATGTGGTAACAGAATCAGTTATAACTAATGAACTATATTTTTATATTGAAATATCTAATAAAAAATTAAATGATTTAAATGAAATTTGTGTGGTTTTTTTGGCAAATGAACAGTTCTTGACATAAAAAGCAAACGTAGATTTGTATACGAATTATATAATTCACTTGACACAGCTACCGGCATTACAAATGCTGATCTACAGAGCGATATGCCGCCATTTTAAAGGGAAGTATTTGTATAACTGTTAGTGTTCTATGGGGACCCAGTTGGGTGACTGCAACTTTGCGTGGTGTCTGCCATGCTCGGGACATGTGTATATCTTGGTGATGCGGTGTGCCGTGTATCAAAATTAGATTAGGTTTCTGTGACCTACATTTTGACCTTTGACCAACATCAAAGAAGACATCTGTCCCGCCTCTATCTCCTTCACTGCTAGTCACTGAAACTCCATACTTAATGTATGGGTACACATTGGTGAGGCGGCGTGTTGGCTGAGGGGCTGTAATTCGTGGATTGAATTTTTTTTTTAATGAAACGCGTTACAAAAGCCTTTCCAGAAATATACTTTGAAGGGAAGCTAATAAAACAAAGAGTCCCTGGATAATTTTGGCCATATTAGCTCGATTAAGAATTTAACTGACATTTGATCAGCTAATCATTTTTAAGTGAGATTGTTCTTTTCCTATTGCCTGGTACAGTAATTTGTGAAGAAATTGGTGTTCTACATCATAAAATTATTAGTTCTCTTCAATAAGTTTATCTTTCTCTCATAAATGTTTAGTTATACGCCTTTCCAAGTGGAAATCGATCAATGTCTTGTTACTGAATTATTCAGTCTCTATCAAATACTCCAATACATCATGTGATGTCTGATCAGAACTACTGATTTTTCCTATTTTCATCATTATCTTTTCTTCCTTTTAAACATTATTTATTGAAAGTGTCACTGTGATGTGACTTATCTCTTTAGACAAATCATTTGTAAACAAAGAGAAAGCAGTGAGTTTTTGAGGTATCCATCTTTTTCTTTTCATTATTATTGAATGCAAAACAATAATATGTGTTCAAGGTGTACTATTAAAGAAATACATGAGAACGCGCAGACAAATAGCTATTTCTATTTAAAAAATCTATTGCACCAAGAAACTTCGCATCCCAAATAAAAGAATTTTTTCGTGCAGATTTACTTCAAGAACATGTTCTTGCTTTTCACTAGCAAATCTCACTCTCTAAAAACAACACGACGACTGTTCAACAGCTAATATCAGAGCAAGTTGGAAACTGCAGTATTTTCTTAGGTACACAGGTAATTTGTAATCAATGATGAAGTTAAAGTTAAAATACATTTAATCAATCTTTATTTTTCTATACAGTTCATTATCAACAAAATAAAACATTTCAATGGGTGGTAAAATGAATACCACCCTCTTAAAACATGACCTAACAATGTATAAAAAGCTCAAATGTTACTGTTGAACTCACATTGTCTATTTTGTGATCTATACCAAACAATCACTTTCAAGTTACAAAGTAACATATACAAAATGTTTAGAGAAGAACTCCAAACAATATTGAAGGACATACAAATACATGTTCATGAATTAGAATACTTTTTGTGGAATTGAAATTCTGTCTGTACACACTAATGTAATGATAATTAGAAATATGCAGAATTTCCTTAAATCTAGCAATAGATTTTAAATTACAATAGGTATAATTGGTCTTCTTAGTTCAGAGAACGATGTAACTTTATATCGCATATATAATCATAGATTCATGGCCTCTTTGTTTGTCAAATGCTGTAAATGTAATTTGTTTTGGGAGAGGGCTTAAATAATGACATAATAACTTATGGCAATGAAGTATGTTTGAATCAACTGTTCGTTTGGCAATTCCATGCATTTCAGTGCATGATAGTAGTTACATGAAGTTGCATGTGTCTTAAATCTAACACACACTTACTACTCCTGAGCAGGAAAAATAGATTGCTTTATAATGAAAATCCTTGATGATACTGAGCAGTACTGAAAATTAGCTCAGAAATTGTGTTTAAAGTTCAAGAGTTATCTCCCTGTAATAAAACTTTGACAAAAACGTTGCTGAAATGACATGAACTATACAAGAAATCCAAATGTACTTCTTCTGTAGTTAATTAATTATGTGTAAATTAATTTCAATAGCTTTATGATTATTTCATTGAACACTTTGTCAAGCATAACGTAGAAAATTTTAAAAAATCACCAATAATATAATTGTATTATTCTATCGAAAAGCATTATTGTATCCTATACATATACACAAGTGATAAATCTGTGTGGTGACCGCTGACTCAGATGAATATTTGTACTAAACAAGATCCTCTACACAAACCCGCACACAAGAAAATCTATCTTACACCCAACATAATCAGTCCCACAGACACACAAATCGACACACTCTCTCACACACCCTAGGCTGTCCAGAATCAGGATTTCTCCTCTGTTGGTGGCGGTGGTGATTGGCCCTTTTTACTTAGTTCCATATCTAACCTTTCCTTCGCTCTAACAACCTGACCAAGAAAAAGACACAAAAATATAGTAGATAACTGCAGATTTAATGATACTGGTGTCAGAGAATGAGACACCACTACACACATATAATAACACTATGTACTATGTAAATTGTGTTGAAGTGGTTAGAGTGGATACTTAAAACACTACACAATATAAACCAGTATTTGTAATACAAAACAAAACATGATAAAATTATAACTGCCAGCCACTTGATAGCTTCATGGTAATATTACCCCCTCTCCCTTCCCCTTCCTATCATTTACAATAAACACACCGGAAAATGTTTGCAAGATTTCTTCAAAAGTTTAGTTGTCTGAACAACCATTAAGTATTACTATACTACACATTCCTGTAACATTTCTGTACAGTTTCATTGAAATCCCTCCACAGTTTAGGAGGAGTTGTCTGGACAACCATTAAGTATTGCTATACTACACATTCCTGTAACATTTCTGTACAGTTTCATTGAAATCCCTCCACAGTTTAGGAGGAGTTGTCTGAACAACCATTAATTATTACTATACTACACATTCCTGTAACATTTCTGTACAGTTTCATTGAAATCCCTCCACAGTTTAGGAGGAGTTGTCTGGACAACCATTAAGTATTGCTATACTACACATTCCTGTAACATTTCTGTACAGTTTCATTGAAATCCCTCCACAGTTTAGGAGGAGTTGTCTGGACAACCATTAAGTATTGCTATACTACACATTCCTGTAACATTTCTGTACAGTTTCATTGAAATCCCTCCACAGTTTAGGAGGAGTTGTCTGGACAACCATCTGTAAAACCTGTTTATAGTGATTGGTTACCATTGTATGGTAACAAATGTCAACCAATTTTTTGGAGAAAAAAAGTGACATGCACATCTATACATGGTGGCTACCATTCCTTTGTAGTTTCGTTAAATTTATGTGTTGTGTGGACAACCATTTATAGGAAAACCTGGTTATAGTTACCAGTTACCATGGTAAGGTTGCCATGACAACCAATGTTTTTGTTCCAAAAGCTTAGAAATTTTCTGGACAAAAACTTTTCTACTGACAGACAGTTAAGCTCATTCCAGTGTACTTCTAACTCTGTTGCTGGTTGTATTACTAAAAGCTGAGCAAGGGATCTAAACGTGGAACCTCTGACTTTCGAGTCTAAAAAGCTACACTTCAACAAATGAAATAGAGAGTGCTTATTCCTGTCAGTTTGCCTATATGTTTTCCCAGCAGGAAGAGAGGCTCCAAATTTTCTTTTATGAGAGCAATAGTATCAAGTTTTGTCAATAAGTAAAGGCATGGATTGTGATTGTTATCACTATTTTATATTGTATTTCCTTGGGATTGAACCCAATACTGCCATGCTACTAGCTACAACAACTAAGTTAAAGAGAACAGTGATTTCAGCTATGACTTGATGTATTTGTAGTGTTAGCTTAGAGCTTAGGAAACAAAACACTATGAAAATACCGAGGGTCAGCATTTTATTGTAGGTACTTGTGGTGATGAGTTAATGATTTACTTACTTGAAGTCTCATACTGTGTATATAGCCTAATTATTATTTTTTTAAGTTTCAGGCAAATTCTTTCACAATGTCTGTTCATCAAAATCACATGTAGAATTGACAATGTCTTTCTAAGTTCATCAATATCAATACTGAGAGACTACAAAATTTGAAATACAAAATTTACGAAAAGTTGGATACAAACTTTACTCTTTATTTTAGTACATTCTTAACATCCAAATAAAACACTGAATTCATTAAAATATATCATAGAAAGATTTTAAAAATGTGTATGCAAAATGTGAAACTGTCTAAATCACATAAGCTTACCTTGGATTGTAGGTAGAAGGACCCTCCAACTGACTTGTCGTTTACTTTAAATAAGTGATCATAGCTTTTCTGAATTGCCTCATTACTATCCAATTCTGATACATTCAGTATTTGTGTGGCTTCCTGAAAATATAACCAAATTTTTGTTGCATCTACATATTTTTTTATCAAAAGGTATCAGTAAGTTAACTTGAGCTAAGGGACGCCTGAACAGCCCACAGACGGGATACCATTTTACTATCATACCGTTAAAATTAATTACCCTCTTGGAATAAAAAGGCAGTGTTTCTGATAGTGATCAAACTGGAATTTTCATGAGTCCTTTTCAAGTTCATGACTGAAAACAATGCAAGACAAAAAGTGAAATTAAAATATTTCCTGAAATTCTCTGAGTCCAAACAAAATTCTATTAGTACAGGACTTGGGACTTGCATGATGCAAATTTATCATAGCTCTGATATTTAAATTACATAGACACAGCTGATATCTATGTAGTGAATATCTGTAGCATTTCATTCACATGCAAACTGTAAGCCTGGATTGAGTTTGATCTGTCTAGTAAAGTTCTGATGTAACTTTATACAGTAGATTTATTGGCTATACTGTCTTACTGACTTCTGACAATTAAGAAATTTGAGGTAATCTATGTAGTCGAGTATATTTTTCAGACAAGTGTCCACATTTTATTACAGGATGTCTCAAAGAAGGGCATTATCGTTCATTTACACACTTATAATGAGGTCTACGTACATGTATGATTTAAACAAACTGGCCTTCGCCTCAGAATGGGGTTGTTATTGAGCACATGTTTGAGTTATGTAAACTTGAAAATAGGGTTAAATAAATACAACTCAATTGATTCTATAGTCTATTGGAGTCTGTCACACTAATTCTATTCCCTTAATTTAAGTGTAATAACTCTGATATCCCTATACTGAATGTTCTACTACTAGATATTTACATCTTGCTTCCCTATTGTTTACCTGTCACAACTGACTCATGATTAATATCCATAATGTTTTACAACTGCCACCATCACCTCAATGGAAACATTTCATTTCCTTGGACCATATCAAATTTATGTCTTCAATGCCCGATAGTATGCCTGATAATGTTGATGTTTGTGTTGTCAACTTGTTTTGTTTCATAACATGACTCTACATGTACTTACATGGACTGACCAAGATTTACATGGTGGGTAGCATCAACGAAAATAATGATACTAACTTTTTTGGCACACATGGGTTTATTGTCATTGTGAATGAAGGTACAATGTAAGTCAAAAACAAGAACATTTTACTTTCAAGTGTATTTGATTTTGAAATATTTTTCCTAAGAACACCAAAAAGAATGTATAAATCATAACCAATACACAAATACAGGTTTGAACAGTTTAGTACAAATGACAATATTTGTAAATCTAACACTTGCATTGAGGCTGCTTTGGACTATGCATTTTATTTTACCTGTAAAGTCATCCCTGATGATGTGTCTGCGACAGCCTTTCTGCGCCCTTCCTTTCCACCACCATGTCTCTGAGCTGCCTGTTGACTAGCTCTGATTTCTGACTGCAGGGCCCTACCGAATGCTTTACCCACAACTTGCACCCCTGCTATAGCAAGCTGGACAATATTTTTTATCTGAAGAAAGAAAGTTATTACGTAAAAACTTTGATTTAAGAAATAAATCATTTACCATTTACAATCTGTAATTGACCTAAAAAGTGTGCTCCAACCTTTTTGACTAAGACAGTAGATATACTTACCAATGTGTTGGAAAATTATAAGATGTTCAAGTTTAGTAATCAATTGAAAAATACACATAATTGACTGACTATACTCAGTTTCATACATTAAGTGCAAAATAGTTTTCAGTGTCCTGCATTTTCATTTTCAAATCCATATAATATGTCTGTTACTTAATTGGTTAATGACTTATCACTAAATTAGTGAAAGGCTTAAGTTCATTTTTTCCCATGTAATCTGAGTTATGGATTCTTCCACCAAAATTCAATGTCTGAATATATCTCACATTTAAAGTGACAAGTCATTTTTATAAGTCAATTGATTTTTATCCAGGCATTCTACCTAATGAGTTATTATCTCAAATCAAATCCAGAATGGGTATACACAAAGAGTACTTTTAAGTAAACTTGTATCTTCCAGAAGGTGAAGCATACCGTCAGTTATACACTGTGTATGAGTATTGAAATTATCAAAATGTATGCACATAAAAATCCAAGCCCTTGAACTTAAGATAAAGATGTCAGCGATGTAGCTTACATGGAACAGATGGCCCACCAAAAGAAGTTCAGAACTCAAAAATGAAAACCCAACCTCTCATATCCCCTTTTCGAAAAAACAGAATAAATCAATGAAAATGAAAACAATTGTGATACAGTTTATAAAATTAATGTGTAGTGTATCATCAAATATAATATATTCTCTTACCACCATTATATCCTTCCTGTTATATGACCCGACTTTAAATTCTTTAGTTTTGGTAATTCTTTCACTTTCAAACTTCTCTTGCTTTCTATCAAAAATGTGATGATCTGAAATGACAAAAATAAGATGATGTAATTAGTGATGAATGTGTAAGTAGCTTCAAGTAAAATCAATTTGATTTTTCAACTAAATTGTACAGTTGTAGGTATGCATCAGGGTTTATTTGCTGTCACTTTGAAATGAGTTAGACCTGTTTCTAAGGAAACTGATTCAACAATAACTACTTAAAGAAATTCAAAACTTAACTTCAACTTACATGTGCTACAAAACGATTTGAAAACTTCAGCAGTAGTAAAACAACAGCATCTGATTTAATTTTAGGTATAAAATTAAAGACTAAATGACTGTGTCACACATAGTCAGAAAGCAAGGTACCATAAGATCCCCAGCTCATCTGAAGTTGTGGTTTCAGATCTTTCTATTTCAATATTTGGGCGTGTTTTCTTCCTTTAATCAAACGACAAAAGAAAACTGAATATTTTTGAAAATTCATATCTTCTTTAAACAAGCATATTTTTGGTACAATGTGACATGTTCATGTCTTACACTTTGGCGTCAACAACAACTACAATATATGTTGATACAGAAGGTACTACTGACTTTAGCGGAAACTGTTGGCCACTAAAGGCAGCAAGTAAACATATTCTTTTAAAAACGATTAAATTTAGGTCCAAAAAAACATGTTTTCTTTTAAATGATTAAATTTAAGTATAAAAATTATACAACAACAAAACCTTTACAAAAAATTACAAACACCTCATTGTACTCTTTCCATGTCTTACTACAATTACTCTGTATCTATGTGATTTGGTTTGACTTTTATTAAAACATAATATTTCTTACTTTGTTAGCATGAATAAGATGACCAACACTAAAGCAGAAACATGCAGTACTCGGACATTTTCACATTTTTGGTTTCCACTTAACATATGACCAATTTGTCCACACCTATGTATGATAACTATGAGTTATATTGATACTTTTCTACCTGTAATAAGAAAACCTCTCTAACTATGGTGGTAACATTAATCCAACAGATGACTGCACAGTGATCCTGATAACATCCGTACCCAACAAGTTTGCTTACTTTAATTTTTCCTACTCTGAAATAATCAGAGTAAAATATGTTATTACAAACCAGAGTAAATATGTACTACACAAAATACTGTACAAACCAGAGTAAATATGTTATTTGATAGAAAAGGAGTGCATCAAAAGTGGATTTGATGTACTACACAAAATACTGTACAAACCAGAGTAAATATGTTATTTGATAGAAAAGGAGTGCATCAAAAATGGATTTGATGTACTACACAATATACTGTACAAACCAGAGTAAATATGTTATTTGATAGAAAAGGAGTGCATCAAAAGTGGATTTGATGTACTACACAATATACTGTACAAACCAGAGTAAATATGTTATTTGATAGAAAAGGAGTGCATCAAAAGTGGATTTGATGTACTACACAATATACTGTACAAACCAGAGTAAATATGTTATTTGATAGAAAAGGAGTGCATCAAAAGTGGATTTGATGTACTACACAATATACTGTACAAACCAGAGTAAATATGTTATTTGATAGAAAAGGAGTGCATCAAAAGTGGATTTGATGTACTGAGTAAATATGTTATTTGATAGAAAAGGAGTGCATCAAAAGTGGATTTGATGTACTACACAATATACTGTACAAACCAGAGTAAATATGTTATTTGATAGAAAAGGAGTGCATCAAAAGTGGATTTGATGTACTACACAATATACTGTACAAACCAGAGTAAATATGTTATTTGATAGAAAAGGAGTGCATCAAAAGTGGATTTGATGTACTACACAATATACTGTATAAACCAGAGTAAATATGTTATTTGACAGAAAAGGAGTGCATCAAAAGTGGATTTGATGTACTACACAATATACTGTACAAACCAGAGTAAATATGTTATTTGACAGAAAAGGAGTGCATCAAAAGTGGATTTGATGTACTACACAATATACTGTACAAACCAGAGTAAATATGTTATTTGACAGAAAAGGAGTGCATCAAAAGTGGATTTGATGTACTACACAATATACTGTACAAACCAGAGTAAATATGTTATTTGATAGAAAAGGAGTGCATCAAAAGTGGATTTGATGTACTACACAAAATACTGTACAAACCAAAATATTGGTCAATATTTACCCCTATAGAAACTCAATTGACTCTGGGTTTTAACAGTCTATTCGCTAAATTCACTATGCTATCATTTAATATATTCCAAGTCATTGATCTTTTTATGTAAGGAAAACCATTGTGAGTGCCAATGATTCATGAAATATATCTGGGATTTTAAATCATATTTTGTTGATTGTCCATATATCTGACGATTAACATGAGTGTAAGAGTGTATTGTGTTTATTCCTAGATGTGACTTGTTTACATCTTTGTCTGAGTCTTACGGTCAGGTTAAAATGTGTTTAAACAATATTTATAAGCAATAATCATATCCTATTATTTATCAGTATCATTAATTGTAACTTACAACTACATTATTATCTTGTGTAACAACTTAAGATGGGAAATGCAGGATTAGTGAGAATAATATGTCCTTTGTTTGCACTTGTGTATGTTAGTTGAAGTTTAAGTGTGTAACATGTTTTTATTCATATTCTTTCCAGTGTTAATAAAGCCTGGTTTTTTTTAACTGATTAAAATGGTTGTGTTGTTTTTATTGCACTTAAAACACCTCTAGTTACATTTGATGCCTGCTTTTTTTTTTTAGGTATTATAGAAGGAATCATATATATATATATGATAAAAACATGTTTTTCTCTACGATTCTTGCTATTTTTTTAGTATGATATCTATGTTTCATGTATAGAACGTCCGATCGTTGTGCATCTAGTCTATACTGTCTCAACCTGTAACTTGGAAACATGTCAGGAGGAAAAACATTTTATGATTTATCTTTGTCAACACCAATGCGTGGAGATCAGAGGAGAAAAATGCCTATATACAGTAACGAGGTTCATGTCCAGTCTATACTAGGTAATCTGAGTCCTGACATGTTAACTAAACGCTGGGCAGCGGCTATTAACCACATTTTTTCTTACTTACCCTCAATTTTTTGGCCACACATTGACAGTGTATTGAAACGTATTTCTATGAGTTTCAAAGTACTTACAGATATACTGTCATGAAATTGCGTCAACCAGCTTATGCAATCAACTCCGTCATGTCAACGGTAAAAGAGCAAATTGAAGAAATTCAACACTCAAACCGAATAATAAAACCGCATGAATGGGAACTTACCTGGAGATATAAGCGCAAAACATATAAATGATCAATACAGCATCTGACAGTTATTACTTTGAATTAAACGATAAAACTTACCTTATCATTGCGAAAGCATGTTGAAGGAGATTTTCAGCAGAAACCGGATGTGTGGTTGTGAATTATTGTTCCGCAGTGAATAAAGGCATATGTTAAAATGAAACCCGTTAGAAACGAAAATATCCGGAATGGAGCCTATTTGTTCAGGTAAGGAGGTCAAGATATATTTGTTTCATTATAGCACGAATGATCTTGACCCATTTATCGTTCGTTATAGATATAATTGCAGTTAGTCTACAACAATTTCGAAACAAGCTTTTAGCTTATACACTTTCATTAATCACTCTTGTTGACCCGGATCGGAAACACTCGGGGACCTTTCTGCAGGAGTAAATCGGAATATTTGGAATATCCAGGTGGTCGGACAGGTGATCTCGTACCTTTTCACGCCCGTTCCAGAAATTCGAACCCCGAACGCCTGAGCGAAATGCGAGTGTGTTACTACTGAGCCCGTGACTCGACCACCCATCGTTCGTAAGGTTTTCAAGTACAATTTTATTTTACCGTTCCTTTTCTTGGAAAAGTCAAAACACTGATACAAGATTTCACAGTTTCTTTAAGCGATTTCACACTAAGTCCTGTTGAATCAAGATTTCATCGTAGCTGTGAATAATCACAGTACCATCAGCGAACACACATAGATGTTATGTACTCCCCATAAGGATTCTTATTTATTTCCCAATCTTCTTTTCATGTTCTGTATAAATGAGTATAAATGAAGAGAATGGAAATATTTGTCGCTAGAACTTTTTCAATGAAACTATCAGAGCGATTGATTTAGATTAAGTGATAACAAAATTATGACAGTATTCAATTTCAACTTATGTATTTTATTTTGTTGGTAGTAGCCGACATTGAACCCTTTTAGTATACATATATATATTCATCTATAATATGATGTGAATAATTAATTTGTATTCTGTAATATCTTGTACCAAATCCGTATATTGCAATAATATTATATATTTCTTGACTCTATTGAGGTAAATTTGTTGAAAGAAATACATTTGTAAGTACATGGAAACTGTATGTGTGTGTGTGTGTGTGTGTGTGTGTGTGTGTGTGTGTGTTGTGTGTGTGTGTGTGTGTGTGTATCATATCTCTCAATGTTTGAATTTATGGAAACAGTGGCTATGCACATGCACGTGACTTTTTCTAAAAAAAAGTTTAAGTGCATTTTCTCACCTATTTTCTGAAAACATCGTTCTTCATAAATTGCCTCTAAGATTTCAACACTTCTGGATCTTAAGTTGTATGAATGAATTTTTGAATTTAAATAAATTTTATTACATAAATATTACACAAAAGGATCGGACGCTAGTTGTCACAACTTATTAATGTCATCTCCATAATACAGTTATACCTATGCACAACTTAGCAATGGTCTAAATCAATCGGTACATAAATGAAATTTTCAAATTTGAAGAAAAGAAGAATCAAACAATAGACAGAAAAAGAGATGCTGAAATAATCAATAAAAAGTAGGTGCTAAGGGCTAGTCAAATGGCACTGTCAACAGGTAGAAATGTAATCACCTGTATTTGTACTTACACAAATCTTTTACTATCGACAAAAAACATCTTGCACGTGTTTACTAGTAGCTTCGTTTAATTTTACGTCCAAGGAATTATCACCATACATAAGGTTTTCATATATAATATCACCATACCATAATTAATGGCTCAGCATTTCTTTCTACATTGTATAATGGACAATGGAAAATAAAATGTTCCTCGTCCTCTACAGTATGTCCACATCGACAGTACGGACTGTCAGTTAGATTAACACGCAGTAACTCATTATTAAGAATACCAACACTATTACGGTATGACCATGTAAACTGTTAACTCTCCTTTCACCGTACTCTTTAAAATGTTTCTCATATAAAGGTAATTTTGCTGGTCTGATAGACTTTTAAAACTGTTTCAAAGTGGTGCTATTTCTTTTTTCTAGTGACGGGTTGTTCCATAAAATACAGGTGTTCGGAATAAAAGAAGACATAGTTTTACTAAGACAATAATGGGGAATTTTATATTTATCTTTGTTTCTGAGATCATAAGTGGACAAGTCAGATACATTCGGAGGAAGGAGAGACACAAGATAATTTGGTGAATTACAAGACTGAATGCTATATAAAAGTTTTCTAAACACTATACGTTCCTTTAAGGATTGCCAGTTTAATCCTTGATATAAGAGTGATTTACTTGTAAAGATGGGCAAACCAGTGATAATTCTAGCGGCTTCATACTGTGTATTTTCAATAGCTTCTGTATCCCCTTCGTTGCAGTTATCCCAACCCTCACAAGCATATCCTAGAAGATGCCTAATGTACGGTAAAGATATTTTTTCAAGATTGCTCCTGTTAAGAGTATATTTTAGTTTGCTAAGAGTTAGCAAATACTTTTTAGTTTTATTTATAATTCTGTTAACATGAACACTTTATTTGGCATTTTCACTAATGTTAACTCCTAAATGCTTAAGAGACTTGACTAAGGGAATCGTGTAGCCGACAAATTCGAATTTGGGTTCATAAGGTAGGTTAACAAATGATAACAATAATGATTTAGTTTTAAGTGGATTAAAAGACATTAACCATTTTTCGGACCAAAGTCTTAGTTGCTCTAAATCAAACAAAATAATCATATACATGTTTATATACCATACGTTCAAAAACTTTCCCGATACAGCTTAATAACGAAATTGGTGGGTAGCTTTCTGGAAACTCAGAATTATCTTTCTTGTGGTATAACATGAGCAAGTTTCCAAGGACATGTAAATTGACATATATTAAGAGACTCGTTAAATAAAACCGTTTATTTTCTCTCTGCAGCGCAAATTCAACGCAAGGGCAATAACTCGCATTGAAGCGATGAATCAAAGGCGAAAAATGATCAAAAGAAAGGGTTACACGAACACCATTGAAAAAGTCAAACGAGGATAAGACAAGATATTTTGCAAAGATAAAAATCTCCGGCTTCATACAGTACACTACATCAATCACATCAACCAATGGACTTAAATCTACGCAGTTAAAATTTAGCGTTAAAATAGGTTTACTGTTAAGATATCAGTAATTTAAAAACGGAAGCATGACGTTAACGCGAAAATTAAAAATAGAAATGATTTCATTTAGGACTTGTATACCAAAGCTGTTAGGTAAAATGGGATCAATCTTATAAAATCAATTGGATATCCGATGATTATTTCAATCTAATGATCTTTTACTACCAACACAAGTCGTCTTCAATAAGCCGTCAATGATTCGCTTGAATCTCAGAACATTTTATTCAGGTTGGTGACTAAATTGAATAGAAGTTATTATTTCACAACAAATAATTTTTAAAAAAAAACTTGTATGTGATATTATGATGACTGCAGTGTTGCCTTCATCTGAAAAAATGGCCACAGTTAGATTGGTACATTGTATACCTCAGTGCAAATAAGCTTCACACTAGTGCACGAGTAGTTATTGAAACGATACTCACGTTTTCTAACTAGTTTTGATATAAGAACCTCTATTAGATAATCTACATTATCATGGAGGAAGGATTCAGGGTACGTGATAGAGTAGGAGTCCAACAATTCTCACAACGTGATGATGATCAGTCAGACAAGTCACAAAATATCTTTACATGTCTATTGTTCGTCAAACTAATCTCGTTTAATACCAATTCTCGTTCATGCCTTGGATACGTTTATCAATTTCCACATAACTTTCCAATTTTCTCAGAAATATTACTAACAAAGTACATTTTTTAACTTGGTTCTTGCTTTGTTGTGAATTCTGCGTGCCGAAAGATCGTGATATTACTGACGAAATGTGTCTATTTGCGGTCCTTGGCGAGAATTCGCACTTGGCTCGACCATTAATAACAAATGAAACAAAAGTTTGTGCCAAAGACGAACGTGTGAACAGCACCCTCTATACAAAGAAGTATAAATTTGCACATAGGTGTTGCTACTGGACCTCAGATGTGGAAATCTTGACGGCGAGTTTGAAAAATCAAAGTCAACGATGATGTAAAAATATAAACATTTTCAATTTTACTTGCACGTCATATTTGTGTGAACCCAAGAGACATTCCAATTCAATTACCTTCAAGCAATGGCGGAAAACTAGATAGGAAGTTTTTAAAATGATTTATGTGAGGAACATGAAATTTCTCGTGAAAGTGAACATCTTGTCATTTAAACTGACAACCTGGAGGTCTCCCAAGTATGTTTTGTGATCTGAGAAGAAAAGAAATGGTCAAATCTTCGGGACATAGAACCCAAATAAAAGGAGTCCATGCTACAGGATATTACTGGATCAATCGCACTGAAAAAATACCCAATGATTAGCCAGTAAAGTCAATCTTTTATTGATTATGGACCAGCTAAAAAAATACACTGTCATCATGGAATCAAGGTGATGATTGTTAAGAATATCATTCCAAAATCGATATGATGTGTCCGTCTATATTTGATTGATCGTGATAATTGAAATGTCAATCTTTTTTATGTCATATATATTGTAGATATATAAGTACAAGTATCTTATAATATAATTTGACGGCATATATTTCATGTATTTAAAATTTACTATTCTAACAGGAATTAATTTGAATATTAAATAATAAAAAAAATGACCTACAATTACGCTTTGTCAGTTATTATAATTTACAACATTCTTATACCTGCGTTATCACGATTTCTGCGAGAATTTAAGACATGGGAGTGTTCATTAAATAGAAGGGCGAATATGTAAGAAATGTAAATCAGAGGGGAGATGTACTCTGTTTCTTATCTCATGTTTATTGTATATTATATTCATGTTTTATTTTCGGGACCCGTCGTTTTATGGTGAAGGTTTATAGTGTTACCTTTGTCCGTTATTCTGTCATAATTTAGTTTCCGATATGAATTCTTCAATAGATTTGAATTTACATTTTATATGACGTTGTGTTATGATAATATGCAAATTAAGTTGATATTTTGCTATGGCCAATTCATTTTACCCCTAATTATGCCATTTGACTTACATAAACGATAAGGCCA